AATCAAGAGATATATCACAAGAGTCCTAATCTTTTTGTATTTCTATTTCTTTTAGGGAACTTATCAATATCAATCCCAAACCCACATAATATGGGATTTCCATATATGGGTGATTTTGGATATCACCATATCCAACAGTTGTGCTCTCTCTGTGTGCGCCTGTTTCTAACTGTATTTGCCAAACATGGGAAAAAGCATGCTTAAGTATTCTTTTCCTATAAATTGTTTTCATATCTAAATATTTTCCTATCAAACTTTCACACATACCAGACGACACCTAAAAGCAAACCAAGTTATACAAAAAAGATTATCCAAACATGAGATTTGTATAACATGGGTACCATTCAAAGCCATCCAAACAAGTCCTATTTGAGTAACCAGATTTTAACATAACCAAGGTTTGACATAATAAGGTTTTGATTCGGATGTATTAACACAGAGAGCCAAACGAGCCATAATTATTCGAGCATTTTCCATTGCATTGTATTATATCCTCAATCGAAATGACCATCTAGCCCCTATTTCCATCCACATATTATGCATAGGAAAAGCATTACTATGGCCTTAAGAGAGAGCCATGGGCTTACTTGCACATAAAACAAATAGTGACTATCACGAATTATTTAAAGAATGATAGAAAAGGATCCTTGAATCATAAGAAAACTTTCTATATTGCTTTTTTTAATTTTATTTTTTTTATTTTTAGTTTTTATCATTTTTTTACAGCTTTGAGTAAATTCATTTGAAATTCATAAAACATGCTAGAAATTTAATTGATTTACAACTTGTGTATAGATTTGACAGAGAAAAGACTTGGGCCATTAAGTTGTGAGAGAATGAGCAGAGAGGAGACTAAGGCAATTAAATTGAGAGAGAGAGGAATGAATCATTAATCTAGTAATACATTAGAAAAACTACGTTCAAATAAAAAATCTAAAAAATTAGAAAGAGAGAGAGAAAGAGTCCAATATGGATTAACCCATCTAGCTAAAAAATTGGACTAATTTTGTGGAGATCTCTGATTGAAATCATTATGCGGAAGGGCATTAAATTGAGAGAAGAAGAATTGATCACTAATCGAGTATTACATTAGAAAGAACTACATTCAAATAAAAAAATATAATAAATTAGAGAGAGAGAGAGAGTCTAATTTTTTAATTATTGATTCCCCCATCTATCTAAAAAATTGGATTAATTTTGTGGAGATCTCTAATTGTAATCATTATGTGGAACTTATGGAGAGAACGAAACAAAAATAGTTTTGGATGTTCTGGCATAGATATAGGTGATTTAAAATCAAATTTCGACCCATGAGTGTAGAATGTGCTTCTAAACATAAGGAACACAAGTGTGTCTCAAAGGAGCAAATTATTAACTTCAGGGAAGTAGTTGAGCTCAATCATATTGTTCAAAGGACATCGTATATTTGGAATCTTCTACTGTAGAATTAGATTAAACTCAATTTTGATGAAAGACGGTTATGAAATTCTGGCATTGTAAGGATTGGTGGATCAATAAGAGATCGAATGGGTACAATTCTACTTAGTTTGCTCGATGTGGTGACTTTTACAACAAATAAAGTAATAGCGAGAGCTTTACTGGTTAAAAACTAGCAGAGTAGAATTGCCTTTTAATGGTTAAAAACTAGCAGAGTAGAATTGCATGGAGCACATGGTAGGTGGGGCCCCCTCCAAAATTAATTCTTCATTTGGATGAAATAAAAGATATTATATCCAAAGATGGCATACAACTACTATAGCATTGCTTCTTACATGCAAATAAGGAAACTAATGTTTTAGTAAAACGGTTTGCATATTAGGAATCTTTGGTGACGAATAGATTCTTTATGCTTTGTTCTTATCAATGGAGAGGCCTATGTAACTATGGCCAGCTAAGGTACAGACTTTTATTTTCACCTAATACATTAAAAAACCATTAACGATTTCAGAAAATGGGTAGGAGCCCGTCATCCCCATTGAATTACCCAAAAAAAAAATGACATATGTAACTATGTGTGAGAGAGTTGTCATCAATGAAAAGGCATATATAATTGAGAGAGAGAGAGGGAGGGAAGAGGATATTCTACCAAGAAGAAGCCAACCAAAGAGCAAGAAAAATAGGGGATGCATTTACCCAAAGATGGAATCTCTTTCCCAACATCAAGAAACCAAAAACTCACTCAAAAGGAGATGAGAAAATTTAGGCATTTAAAATGTTCATAGATGAGGTGATACTTCATATTTCACATGTTGAGAAATAAAGAGAATTTGCGACACTAATAAAGGACTCGATTAGCATGCGGCTAACCCGGATGTTGTAGAAATACTGGCTTGGCAATAAATATATTTTTAAATATAATTTGATCCTAATTTTTTAATAATATGTAATATTTAACATAGAGATCATGAATATAATTTTTTTTTTTGAAAATTAGAAATAATAATTATATAAAAAAAAACATTTGGATCGTTGGTTACAATTGTTTTTAGATGGACCACCTATTTGCATCATCTTTAATATGGATGATTTATACCTCTAGACCCCGGCCCACATGAAACAATTGTTCATATCCTTAACATGTTTAGAAAATATCTCAAAAGTTACTTAAATTATTCTCACTCAAAGTTGGGAACATCAATGAGAATAAGTAATTTGGTCCACCATTGAGCTTTACTATTTGGCCGGATCTTATGTGGGTGAAATTGCTAAAAATTTACCCAGCTTGTTTGTGGTTCCAACCTAAAATAGAATAAATTAAGTATCTTTTAATGGAAAAAGTTTATATAAGGTTGCAACCTTAAAATGTAGAATTAAAGATGCGCCTAAAAAATCCATCCAAAAATGGTGTTTTAATGTTGAAAAACCATCGAATTGATCATCTCGACATCGAGATGTATGAATATGAAGAAACCAAAGATTTTAAATCTCAAAAATAGTGTATCTTGCAACCCATTATCTGGACCGTCCATTTTCAAGATTTTCATATGTTTATAGATCTACTTGATTTTAGTTATTTTTAGAGTTTAAAATTTTATAATTAGATATGAAATAGATTTTTAGATAATCCTAAGAGTTTTTTACACCAAAATTACATGTTACCATAAAATTTGGAGGTGTGCGTTAATTGGACTGTTTAAGGTTGCAACCTTATAGAAACCACACCCTTTTTTAATATAGCTTTTTATGATGTGTCTTATTCAAATATGAAAACAATAAAGTAAACTTATAATGTTACTGGAGTGGTTGCATGGAGCTTTCTTGAGAAAGGGGAGAGACGTGATAGCCATATTTAACACTTATATCACTAGAGCATGTGTCATAATTTAATTTAATTTTCCTATGAATCGGATTAAGCTCAAATTTTGGGTGTCCATACTTCTCACGATAATATACTTGCAATTTTGAATATATTAAATGACTAAAATAACCAAAATACTCCTAAAATTTGTATGGACATTATATATATATATATATATATATATATATATATTGACATATGTATGATATTGATAGGTATGAATATGCAAAATTCAATCTCAACCCAATGTACATAAATAGATAATAAAATTGAATACTATATATGCTCTTAAAAAAGGAGATATAACTGTAAAATATAAGATGCTAAAGATGTTTTTAAAATTTTAAAAATATATGACGTAATTATATAAAGGAAAATTGTTTCATGCAGGCTGGACCTCATTTCTATTTATGCGGTCCATAAATTATAAAGCATCTATCTTAAAGATGGATGCAAGTAGGTATTCCATCTAAAAATAATAGAAACTAACCGTCCAAAAGTTTTCTTATTAGAATTATTATTTTTAGTTTCTAAAATTTGTTTATTTTTCATAGTCATGACTTTCATGTTAGAGATTACATGTCCTTAAAACATAAGTCTTAAAATCCATCTCAAAAATAGATTTATTAAGAAGCCCGCATTTCTACATGTACGGGCTTGGCTTCGTAGAAACCAGGTTCTTATATAAAGGGTGAGTCAACCCACTCATCTATTATTGTGAGTCTCCTTATGCATCAAAACGTCAATGCCGTCGCCGAAAAGCAAAGTGGATCGTTGAAACAAACATTTAAGAAACATCATTTTTTACATTTTAGAAAAAAAAATTCATACTATCGTCATCATAATTGACATTAGTAAATCCTAAATTTTGAGCATAAAATCCATTAATTTTAGAAGGAGATCACGTATAAATTTTAGAAGGAGATCACGTATAAATTTTAGAAGGAGATCACTTATAAATTTCCCTAGATTTTTTAGGAGGACAATTTTTAGAAATCCTAGGACTCTTATGTACATATGCATCCCCTCTTCAAATTCTATTTTTGACAAGGAATATATAAAAAAAATAATTTTGGAAACTAACAAACGATAATTTTTTGAAAAACATTTATGGACCATAGGTTTTTATCATTTCTTAGGGACACATATAAATGTAGATATGCCCCGACTCATAGAAAACTCTTCCTTGTTTCGTGAGTTGGGGGATTCATTTCTACATTTATGTCCTCCGAGGTCTAAAGCATCTATTTTAAAAAGAGAAATGTTCATATAGTATGCTCTCCTACCGACGTGTATAGAACCCCAAAAGATCACTATTAAAATTGGTACGGATCTCTAAAAAAGTCAAAATCCCATACTCATGTGATAACGTTTATAGATATCTGCTCCAACTTTAATGGCCAGCCCATCTAAAAACATAAAACTAACTGTCCAAATTATTTTTTTATAAAATTATTATTTTTAATTTAAAAAAATTATTTATTTTTAATTTAAAAAAATTATCTATATTTTCATATCCATGATCTCCATGTTGGAAATTATAGATTATTAAAAATTAAGTCAAAAAATCCGTCTTAAAATTTTTCCTAAAGAGGGGACTCATTTCTACAGGACTCGTAGAAATCTTGTACTAACGTAAATTCCCATGCTTTTTAAAGGAGTTAGGGAGGGAGCGGGAAAAGGGGGACGGACAAGCGGTTAAAATTCTCCGGGGTTCCTACGCCAACCGGTCCCTCCCACCACGTGGTCCATTTCCTCCTTCTCGCCCCCGTCTTGCTGACCTGGCCCAATCACATCACTCCACATCACACTCCACCACCGCCCTTCCTCTCGCTTCCGGAGGCAAACATTGTTTCTGTGAAGATTGAAATGAAAGCGTGGACCGTGGCGCATCGTTTCTTTTAAAGATTGAAATGAACGCGTGATGCATTGCAAAATCTCTCTCTTGGTTGTTTCTTTTCTGAATGTTTCTCTCTCTAGATTTTGTTGCTAAGTGGAGGAATAATATGTTGCAAGCAGCGTTGGGCTTCATTCTCTTACTGTTAACCCATGGATTATAGGTATTCTTCTCTCATCGTGTTTTGTGCCGGCTCCCGTTTCTACCTACATTTGTATGCTTTTGTTTTGTTATTGATTTGAATCTTTTTCTTTTGTGTTTATTTATACAATCTCGATCGTGGATTCATCCTCTTGTGGAGGTTATGTGGAAGTATTGGCAATTTTATTTGGGGAGAGAGAAAATTGTTTAATTTTACTAAGAGTCTTCGGGGCATTGAGACTTTTCGATGGATTGAGTCTATTGCAACAAAGTTTCGATGAGGTGGCATATGATAAATATGTAATAACTGTGTTTTTGTTCACTGGTTATGTGGATGGATCTCCTATCTTTTAGTTCTTTACAGTTTGAAATCATTTCATAGCTGCCCTGGTCTTTGGAAGCTTCTTTATTTTAACTTATGTAGTTTCTAATGATTTAAAGAATATGGAACATATATAGTCATAACGACTCTGGTTTTATTCAAAGGGTTGTCGTCCAAAAAAGTGTTTGAGGAGAAAAGGTAAAATCGATTTTTTTCAAGGAGTTGAAACAGGAATTATTGTTATCACGCTCTGATTACTTTATATGTGAAGAAACTTTAGTCTCATATGTACTCTGAAGTCCCAAAAGTAGCATATATTTTTTGTTCTTGGCAGTGTTTCTGGGTGGTAGCATTACAGTTTTGGTTTCTTCTTACAGAATTATTAGTTGGTGTGAGTAAAACACTGTTCATTACATGTATAATACAGGTTTTAAAACTTGGCTAAGTCGACATGGGCTCGGCTGAGTTACTCAGGCTCGGAACCTTGCAGAGCCGAGTTCTTAGCTACAAACTTGGTAATATAAAAAAAGATATAAAAATAAATGCTAGGCAGGTTTTTGTTCAACCATAACCCAAATTTGGCTAGAAAGCTTGTTTCTGTTTGATTAGGAAACAATTTCCATCTGATGTAGTAATGTTTATACACCCTTTCGTTATCAATCAGAAGTGAGTTTCTGCGTGACTATAACCAAAATTTGGCTAGAAACATGAGTTTCTTCAGTAGAAGCCAATGTTGGCGAGTTTCAAGTTTTCCTATCTTAGTAAGGTGCCCATCTCATACCAATCTTGTACCCGTGCTGTACCAGTGTAGGACCCATATTGTACTAATGCCCTTACCAATACCATATGTAGGTTTTACAGGTACTATTATTGCACACGTATCGACCCAATTTTGTACATCATGATGTAACAAATAAAAGATACCTAATATTCAAACATAATTGTAGCATTCTCACAAAGTAGTACAACTAACAGTACTCTGTAAGCCCATACCTACACTAGATGACTATGGTTCGACTTCCTGTTTCAGTGTTCTGCAGAGATATTCTGCAATAGTTTCAGCATAATCATGGATGTTTTCAGGGCAATCTACTGATCCTTGGTGCATGTAGGGAGCCTTTGGCCTCCTCTCCATTGTTTGCAGCCATAAATTAGTTTGAAGCTCCATTTCCTGTTAAAGAAATTCTTCTTATCTCTTTCCTCATATGCCCATAGTAGCTGCTCTCTCCAGAATCCAAAGTTCATTCCTTTCTGAATGTCAATGAAGGTTGGTTTTCGAATGTGTGTATGCATGTGCATGTGTTTGGTTTATTGAAGACTTTGATCCTTGGTATCCAAGTTGATTTCTAGGATCTTATCTGGAATATTTATCTCAACTATGAGACTTTAGATATGGCCTTAGCTTGATACTTCATCAGAACGTTGCTTCGATACAATTGTTGCCTAATGTGCTTACAATAATGGCATGAGACCATGAGTCAAAGAGGGCTTGAACAACACACACACACACATAATAATAATAATTAAAAAAAAGACTACACAAGGAGTTCGTGTGAACGATTCCATTTTCTTGTTGTTACAAGTGATTCATCATAATTTTCAGTTCTTGTTGAAAAAATACTTCATGTATTGGTACTGATGGGCTTGGTCCTTTGGGGGACCTGCATCCTATCTATGCTTGGGAAAATGGAAAATATATATTTCTTAGGGGATGGGTTTCCATTGCATTTAGGTCATTGAGTTTCCAAAGGGAACACTGTTAATTATTATTGAGAGACCAACCTTTGTGACAACATTGACAAATTAGTTGGGATATGGATGATATCGATCAAGGACTCTGAACCAGTCTTTGTTTCCAACATCTTTGCCCTTCAAGGGTTTTTCAGAGTAAATTTTATGAGAGAACTAATGAATTGGTGGGGCCTATGGCCTTTAAAAGTCATGAGAGCATGTAATTACCTTTTTTATAGTGGATTATACACGTTAATGGGAGTATGTGATGTTTGACTGACCAAGGGTTAGGCGGTCTATGGTTCTGGCCGTGTCCAAAACCCCGACCCATGGGCATGTGACACTACTAAAAAGGGTTTACAAAGGGTCATCCCTTATTGTGGTCGGAAAAATGTGAAGGGTTAGTTTGTAGGCTAGGAGAGCTGTGTGGTCTTTTGCGTGAGGATGCGAGCCTGTAAGAGTAGGAGTTAAATCTTCAACAAACTTCTACATGTCTTGTACATATGACAGCCACACTACTGGGAAGCAATCTTGAAAAGGGATACTTGTACATGTGCATAGAGAGAGTCCCTCTTTGCACTATAGTGACATGTGCTTTGCTTGGGGGGGGGGAAGGGGCTATAATTTACATTCTGAGACTGTAGTTCCATTGTAATTGGTTTGAGAAAACAGTTGTGACATGGTCACTAGGTCAGGTGGAGGGCGCTTATAGACACTTTGTTTTGATCCATTGGTACTACTCCACTTCTAGGTATTTCGTTTTCGGTATTTGTTTTGTTTCTATGAACTATAGAAAATTTTTCAGAATTTGTAAAATATTTATGCGGTAATTTCCTTAAAGAATGGTATTTTTGAAATTATATGAGTAAGGAAGGGCGCATGTGGGCCCTTGAATCTAGCATGTGCCACACCATGTGTTTGGGGCATGGGGTCCATAGGGGCCCCTGTCACCCAGCACGCCCACCCTTCTTTATTTTTTTAATTCTTGTTTTAATTAAAATTGTTTTAAATATGCTAGTTGGATATTCTTTTAAAGAGAAAAGAAAAGATTATATGTGCCTATTTTCATGGGAGTTAGTTTTGACCAAGAAATATTATTTTGACTTCCTACAATTTTAAAGATAACAAAATGAAGTTCTAGAAGGTTTTCAAATTAGTTTAATCCTAATTAGAATAGAAGTGGATATGGGTCTACTATTGAGGGATAATATTTCTAATATGCCTCTCTAGATCATGATGGCTGATTTGTGGAATGGATGTCTCACATTTGTTTCTCTCTTACCTCACAGAATTTCCTAAATCTCTTTTGGTCGAGGTGAGCTAATAGATAGGCATACCTAGGGGGTCTTGAGGCCTATATACCCTTCCCATGCTCTACAATGCTCTAGCCTCTCTTTCTCTCCTATTTCTCTCTCTCCCACGCCCTAAGTCTTCTCTTTCCTCTCTCTCTCTCTCTATCTCTCTCTCTCTCCACAAAGGCACGCTACCCATAAGAGAGTTAAAGGGTCATACAAACCCTAATTGTGTTTTAATGCTCTCTAGAAGTCTAGATTAAGAGGTATTGCCTAAGGAAGTTTCCTAACTCGAAAAAAGGATTGAAGTGTACGTGTACTAAGTCCTATAGGGGCGACCCTAAGCATAATTAGTAAGTCTTCCCTGCTATTTCCATTTATTTTTTTAGTCAAATTTGCATGGTTATTGTGAATTTCCAGGAACATTGGTTGTACTTAAATTGATGGTAGAAGTTTGATTTTTATTCCTGGATTGTTTGTTCAATATGGCAATAAAAGGAAAGGTCCTAGGTTGTATTTAGGGTTCTAATTTTTGTTTACAGCTGTATGTTGTGGTACTTGTAAGTGGAATTCATATTTAATAACAAAGAACAAAAGAATTTTTTTTGATTTTATAGCCTTGAATTCCACATAGCTACGTCCTTCATTAGTGTCAGAGCTTTTGTATTTTACTACTGTAGTCTAGTTGTTTCTCTTTTATATTTGAGTCGAGGACTATGGCAGCCAAAAGTTTTATGGCTGAGCTCATTAAGTTTGAAAAATTTGATGGGAAGAGCTATGTTAGTTGGAAGAAAAAATTGGCTTATGTTAGTTGGAAGAGAAAAATTGGCTATGTCCTCTTCGAAGAGAGACGTAGCCAGATGCTTACTAAGAACCCTCCACCTGCGTCGAGAGGAAATGTTTATGAAAGAAGTACATCCGAGATACTTATGCTCAGTGGGAGCGTAAAAACACCCTACCTAAACATCTCCTTCTTATGGCCATGGATGACTTCCATGCCCTGGAGTATGAGCCCTTGAAGATTGTAAGAGAAATTCGATAGAGACTCAAGGCTGATCCACTCCTTTCTTCACTAGAAAATCCATGACAATGAAACAATACTCAGATTTAAAGATGAAAGGAGGCAAATCAGCTGATCACATCCAGCAATTCAGAGCTCTAATTCATGAACATGAGGCGGCACAAGTAAATCTGGATGACATGCCAGTGTGCTACTTGATGAATTCAATGCTAAGCTTAGGGGAAGCCTTTATTTCATCCTTATTACAAGAGAGAGCACACTGAATCTGGGCGAGATCATCGCCAATCTCAAAGCTGAAGAAGAAAGAATGATGACTCGCGACCCTTTAGCCATAACTGAATCTGTAAACCTGGTAAATCTAAAACCCAATTTTGGTTCATTCAAGAAAAAGAAGGGCAAGGGCAAGAATAAGAATAGGACTACTACGAATCAAAAGGGGGATAATGGGCTTAAGAAATGGAAAGATTTAAAGAATACCCAATGCTATAATTGTGAGAAATTCGTCCACATTGCGAATTACTGTAAAGCACCAAAAAATACGAATCTCAAGGGCGATAGGGAGCATGCTTGTGTATTCCTTGAGACTCTACTAGCGGACCCTAAGGAAGGGTCATGGTGTTTCGACATAGGGTCCATCGCCCATGTGTTTAACACCA